TTTAAGAGGTAACTGTAGTGGGTGTATGGACTTTAAATTATAAAATGGTGGCAGGTTGAGAAATAAAGAGAGTTTTGCAATATTCCAAGCAAGAGAAGATATGCTTCTCACCTAAGCCAATAGCAGTGAGATGAGAGAGGAAGGGGTAGGTTCAAGACATACTAGGATGTTTAAGAGTAGTTGGCCACACTGAGGGTAAAGAGAGAATGTGTAACCTCATGGTAACTCAGAGCCCAAAGATACCTTTGGAAATCTGCCTCTTCCTCAAAATACCTTATTGTAACTTGATAAAATATTTTCTGTATCACTTTCTGCATGTGTATGTATGTAAACAGAGAGACAGACAATATTATACTATGTTTATATCTATACGGACATGTCTACATCTATCTCTCCATCCCTCTGTCTAAAAGGACCACAAGTTGAAGTAGTTGCAGTTGTGCACTGAACCATCTTCACATTTATTACCTACCACCATCACGGTAAAGATGGACAAACGCGTGTACTTACGAGCAGGGAAGGGGTCCCTAGTGTCTGCTGATGTGGCAGGAAACACACTGTGCCATTTGTAATCCTTTAATGAGATTCTTGTATGTCTTATCATTTTATTTGAGTAATTTTGGCATTTCAGATAAGATTGTTAAGCATTTTTACCCGTGTACTCATAAACGCTAGCTATATATTTTGTGTAAATATATATTTATTTGTTTGCCACAGGTAAGTGCAGATTAAACAATGTTCTACCTTCAAAATATGTAGAGGCATTTAAAGTTATTTGCATGAATAATGTCACAAGGAACTTAGCGGTGCATATATCTTTGTAAGTAGATATTTTCAAATTTTTCAGGTAGATACCCAGAAAAGGGGTTGCTGGGTCATATGGTAACTCTATTCTTAATCTTTTAAGGAACTTCTATACTATTTTCCATAGTGGCTCTATCAGTTTACATTCTCACCAGTAGTGAATGAGGGTTCCTTTTTCTCTACAGCCTCTTCAACATTTGTTACTACTTGTCTTGTTGAGGATAGCCATTCTAACATGTGTGAGGCAGTATTTCATTGTAGTTTTGGTTTGAATTTTCCAAGACATGGAAACCACTGAAGAATTTTTGATAGGTGATTGGATAAAGAGTATGTGGTACATGTACAATGGAATACTACTCAACCATAAAAAGGTGAAATACTGCCATTTGTGACAGCATGTTGCATCTTGAGAATAATATGCTAAGCAAAATAAGTCAGACATAAAAATTCAACAACCATATTTCACTCATATGTGGGATGTAACATGAAAGCAGCAAATGAACAAACAAGACAAACAAAAACTCATAGACACAGATAACAGTTACCAGAGGAGAGGAGGGAGGGAGGGTTAGTAAAGGGTACAGGAGTCAAATATAAGGCAATGGAAGATGATTTGACTGAGTGGTAATCACACAATGCACTATAGAGTGGATGTACCATAGAATTATACATTTGAAACCCATATAATTGTATGAACCAATGTCATCCCTACAAATTTCACAAAATTAAAAAGGAAAAAACAATCATTTCCAAGTGCTCTTTTTTCCAAAAAGTTATCATGAAAACAAGGGAAAGATCATAATAGTATTGCCAAATTCATTTGATAATTAAAATCAAATGAAAAGTGCTGAGAGCCTCCTTTGGCAAGCGATATTGGCCCAGAGAATGGTCCAGGAGATAGCAGGGTGACCGAGGTGGACTCTGCCCGCAGTTGCACACAGGTTCTGGGAAGCAGGCTGGAATGAGATGGTTCTGTTCATTTCGGTAAGTGCTGTGCGGGACGATACGCAGGGAGGGCATTCCAAGCGGAAGAAAGAGATACGCAAGCATAAATGCTGTGTTTGGGGGCAACGATGGCGGTTAAACAAAGAGGAAGCACGATTTAATGAAAATAATTCTTCCATTGGTTAACCATGTAATTGGGGTGAATTACTTAACCCTCCCCATGTCCCAGTTGCTTCATTTTTTTTTAATTACAGGTTACATTCAATATTATTCTGTATTAGTTTGAGATTGTACAGCAAAATGGTTAGAAAATCATGTATGTAAGAGTGAGGATATTTGTTCTATTTATCTCATAATTCTTAAATCCATGAAATAAGACTTGTGCAAGCAATTTGAGAATAATCAAGTTACATATTAATAAGTAAAACACATTATTGTATATTACACATTAATAACAAAGTAGCATAATTGAGAACAGAAAGAACTTTATTTTCTCTCAATTTAATTTTTTTACTGGCTACCCACACCCTTTGTCTTTTCTTCTTTGAGAAAATAACAGCGAATGCTCTAGACGTGCAGGAGACTACTGAAGCATAGCCTGGGGCTCCGTGGGGGTGCCAGAGTACCCTTCCCAATTTCACTCCCTCCTTATGGGTAGCATTAGAATGAGAAGGGGGAGGAGGAGGTCATGTTGAATATCCACATGGAATATTACAAATATCTTTTAATCCAGGACCCCTCAAACTATCAGATGAAGATTAAATAGATAGGCTTAGAATTAGGAGCAATGTGGAAAGTTATGCCCCTGAGCATCTTAGCTGGAAGGTACCAAATCGGCCTTCACTGACCTGATGATGTTGATGTTACACACTCATCCCCTTACGAGGGAGACTCTTGGTTCTCAGGAAAGAGAACTTCAGATGGCCTGTCACACACAGCTAAAGCAGACATTATTCTGAGGCTATTTTGGAAGGTGCACTGAAGTTGTTGCTTTATAAAGGTAAAAAAAAAAAGTATTGACATGTCTAAGCTCAGAACTATTTTATTTTAACAAGCTAGAAAATACTGAAAAATAGGTAGTACAGTTTTCTCAAGAGGATGCAGTGCAGTTAGAATGTGTACCAATTTTTTCCCAGAGTGTATCTGGATAAAATATGTGCAATGAAATTTCAGGGCAAAATCAAATGCAGGAATAATACAAAATGTGGCAGATTTATAAGCTAGGTAATTTTTATTTATTTTCTAATGTGGATTCCCTTAAGAACTCAAATGTTCTACATGTTACTTACAGCTTCTCCTTGAAAAGACTTACCTCTAAGGTCTTGGCAGCATAAAACTTCAAGCTGCATCATCGTCTGAATTGAGCATCCACCATAATTCTCCTTTGCCACTGACTCAGGGTGGCACTAGCTCTCTATCTGGATAGTAATTAATAATTCATAATTAACCTGGCAGTTTAAATAAATCAGCATAACCATAAGCTTGAAGCATCCTCCCTCTGTTGTCTTCCCTTTTATTTTAAGAATCTAAAAGAAAACTGAGTAGAAAGATTTAGGTATCAGAAATTCTCCATTAAAAGCTTTGCTCTCCTTAGTTTTTTAGATGTGTTCAATCTGTTCTTCGGACAAGATGCAACAGCAGAGATGGGTGAGCCCCTTTTCAGGATTTGAGGGGAGGTGACCTTTGAGGTCTCTTGATATCTGAGTCATACCTTCTCAGGTAGAAAATGAAGAGAAGACAAGGAAAAGCAAAACTATAGCAGTGCTTGTGTGTTGCCAAGTTCCCAGGAAAGAAGAAAACCAAGTCCAGTGTTTGCAGTGTGGTCTTACTGAGGAGGACTCTGCCTGGAGATGAGCCTGCCAGTGGGTTGGGGCTTAGACGTCAGGGGGCTTAAATTAGTTGTGCAAAAGAGGGTGTGTGTGAAGCCTCGTGGGCAATGGGGAGCTAAAGGAGTCCTGCAGGGGACAGTTTCCTTAGACAGTGCCTGGAAAGGCCCCTCTGGCCATATGGAGGAGGTAGGTTGGAGGGATCCAAAACTGGAAAGGAAACAGGTGGGAGGATCCAGGTGGGAGGCAATTGCCATTGTTCCTGTGAAATTTGCTGAGAAACCCAGCCAGGGCGGTGGCGATGAGAAGCAGGAGTTGAGGGGAATCAGGGTGTGTTCCGATGCTGACTTTTGAATTGAATTGAAAACAAGGGCTACCGGTTGGACAAGGCTGACAGCAAAACCGGGGATCCTGCCAGCCTTTGAGCTCCTCAGGGGAAATGGACATGGCCTCGGGCCGTGAGAGATCAACAGATTGTAGAGAAAGACATTGTTATTGCTGTCTGCCTTCCTCTCTGTTGTCATCTCAGGAGCTTACATCTACTGAGGGCTTCTTTTCTATCAAGCACTCTGCTAAGTCATTGTTTTAGCTAAACCTCGCAACACAACTTGTTTAGCCACTACTACCATCTGCATTTTGCAGGTGAGGATACCAAGGCTTGAAGCGGGGAAGGCAGTTTACCTTGCCCCGGGTTTTCAGCAGGAGAGGAGCTGAGCTCTGGAGCCCTGCTCCTCACCATTGGGGAGTGATGCCATCAAGCTTATGTGTTATAATCCATCTTATGGTGGCAATAGCAGCAGGGACAGTGGGTTGCTAGCGGGCTAGGAGCAAAAGCAACTATGATTGGGCAGGTCAGAGACAATTAAAGGAGATGTTTTAAGGAATGAGAAGGAATTTTCAGGTAAAGCAACGTAAAAGGAAAAAATCGCAGGATGAAATAATCTGTGCAAGATCAAGGAATGTGAAAGCGTCCAGGATGCTCAGGAAATGGTAACTAATTTAGTGTGGTTGGCTTTTGAAAAAAAAACAGCTTAACTGGGGGCAACGCATGACTCTCTGCTTAGGTCAGCAATTCCACTAAAATAAATGACTGTGTGGACAGACAGGAACTCTTAGACAACTTTATAAGTAGTTTCCTTTTGGTTTTGCCTTTCAATCAAGAAGCATTAATGCCCTTCTCTTCAGTTCCTGTGCTTCTTCCCCACCCCACACACATACCTGCCTCTGGCTACAAGACATAAAAGCAATGTAAGTGTTGTGTTAGTGGCCACATCCTTGGCAAATCGAGAAATCTGAAAATTATTATTGAGAAAATACTGATTACAAAAAAATGCTATATGAATATTTATAGGCTAACGCCTTCTTCTGAGTGTAAAGAATCATTCTCATTCTCATGCATTTATTCTCTTCTCTGTTTCTTTACAGTTCCTCCACAGATCATGAACATCTCCTCAGATATCACTGTGAACGAGGGGAGCAGCGTGACCCTGCTGTGTCTTGCGATTGGCAGACCAGAGCCAACTGTGACCTGGAGGCACCTGTCTGTCAAGGGTAAGGCGTTTACCTGTAGAAAGTTGTTAGAGTTAGTATATTGAAGACTTGATCCTCTTGCACAACAGAACCTCAGGAATTGGAAAACAATGCTGCACGGTAACAGAGTAATGTAAAAGCAAAGGCCACATGCATCAGTTGTTGAGTATTCTATTCCAAACAAAGATTCATAGAAAATGTTACTGACTTATTATTTTAGTCATTTTTATGACCTTAGCACACTTACGTTTTCTCAACTATGAAGAAGAAAGGTGCCATAACAATAACTTCCAACAAATAAATTAATTTCTCGAGGTAAAGATTGTGTGGGTTAGTGGGTAATTTGTTTTGTCCTTTCTTGAAGGAGAGCACTAGAACACTAGTGTCCATTGAAAGCTCTGATGCTATTGTGTATCCAGGAGGAAACGGACCTCCTCGCTCAGTATTTTCAGGACATTTACCTATAGCCACGTGTGTTTGGCCTGTACACGAATAGTCCTCTTGAGTAGAGGGGTGAAAGGAAGGGTGAAGTGCTCCTGCACCTGCCTGTGCTGGGCCCTAACTGACTGGTATTAAAACATGAGTACGATCACCTTCAACTTAACAGGAAGGGAACCAAAAGGACAAGGGGCCCTATCCCCTTGGAACAAAAACTTGCTCCTTGTAGAACTTGAAGAGATGGACACCAAGCCACTTGATATATATTTACACTGTTGCTAATAGAAACTATGATTAATTCTAGAAATTATACAAGAAACAAGTGCTCCCTCAGTCATTAGAAAATCTAAACATGAAACCCAGTGAGGAGGAAAATCTGTGGAGTATGCCTATCTGTGATTTTAAAATAATGTAGCTCTAGAGAAAACATAGAAATAAATCTTAGTAACCTTGCATTAAAAGTTTGATAAATTTGGCTCAGTGTTCTTTTCCTACAGCTGTCATAACAAAATGCCACCAACTGCATGGCTTAGACAACAGAAATGCATTTTCTCACAGCCTAGACACCCGGGATGAAGGGGCAGTCGGGAACGGTTCCTTCTGAGAACAGTGAGGGACAGTCTCTCCCGTGCCCCTCCCCTAGCTTCTGGGGACTTGCTGGTAAGCTCGGGGGTTTCTGGATGCAGAGGCGCATCAGCCTGATCTCTGACCTGCCTCGTCATGGTCTTCTTCCTATGGGCATCTCTCTGTCAATTTTTTTCTTTTCATAAAGACACTGAACACAATGGATCAGGGCCCACCCTAACGACCTCATCTTAACCTGAATACCTCTGTGAAGATTCTGTTTCCAAATAATGCCACATTCTAAGACACAGGGAACTAAGACTTTAAGATATCTTTTTGAGGGGAATGCAATTCAACCCATAACAAGCTTCATCAAAATTAAAAATACCACTAAGATTAAATGAAGAGAAAAGCCACAGCCTGGGAGAAAACATTTTCCGTACTTATATCTGGCAAAAAGAATTTACATCTGGGCCATATAAAGAGTTCTTACAGAATAACTGTAACAACCCACTTTGAACTAAACAAAATATTTGAACAGACAATTCACTGAAGGTCAATTTTCATATGAATGAAAAATAAGCCCATGAAAATATATTCAACATCTTTATCGCAGAACTGAAAATAAAACAGTTAATGAGATACTTCTGTACAACTACTAGAATGACAAAAACTGGAAGGACTGACAATATCAGATGTGGGTGAGGATGTGGAGCAACTGGAACTCTTATATGTGAACTCTGGGACATAAAATGGCATAAGGCCTATGGAAAAATTTTGGCACTTTGTTATAAGGTTAAATGAATACTTAACACATACAATCCAGCAATTTTACTTCTAGATATTTAGCAAAGATAACTGAAAACAATGTCAACAAATACACATTATACACATAAGAGTATAGTGGCTTCATTTAGAATAGTCTCACGCTGGGAAAAACTCAAATAACCATCAACAAGTAAATAGGTACATTTTAATATATTCTTGCAGAGGACTTCTTAGCAATTAAAAGAAACAAATCAATAAAATGGATAAATCTCAAGAACACTATGTGGAGTAAAAGAAGTGAGGCACACAAAAAAAATACATGCTCCGTGATTTCATTTATAAGAAATTCTAGAACAGACAAAACTAGTCTATAATGACTGTGATCAAGCCAGTGCTTACCTAGGGTAGGAGTGTTCGGAGCTTGACTGCAAAGGGGCATGAGGGAATTTGGTGGAGGGGGTGAAGGGAACGTTTTATATCTTGAATGGGATGATTAAGTTAGTCAAAACTATTCAAAATGTATAATAAAAATAGGTACCTTTTATTGTATGTTAATTAAATCTCAATTACATTTGAAAAATATAACTATAGAGATGTTGCAAATAATGACCTGAAACACTCCCCACCCCCACAATTTGAAACAAACCTTATGTGAGCAGCGCTTACCCAGTGAGAGGCTGGATTCGTCACTAAGACCATCATTCAAGCTTTCGCTGTTTCATTTCCTCCCTACACAGAGAGAACACCTATTTCAGCCCCTGGTTTGTAACAGCAGAAGAAATAAAGACACCAAATATTCTTTGTATAAAGCCCTCCTATATTGAAACCCAAAATGTCAATATTATAAAGAAGCATTAACAAGAATATTAAAGTGTACATAAGGAACATCACAAAGGTCAGCTCTAATATAAACACAGCAATAGTGTGTGTTCCTGATGACATGAGCCCCATGGGAATTTTGCTCAAAGGCAGGGAGAATTTCAGATTTACATTATATACAAAAATATGTCTAACCTTCAGACCGATTTGTACATATTTGGTGAAGTCAGATGTCTTTATAAATGCAGAAATCCCACAATGCATTTATTTGATTCTAAATACATAGTTTTCTAAGCCTAGAAATCTTTTGGAAAGCACTTGGACATTGTTTAAGTGCTTTGAACAATTGTTATAGTGGCGCACTGGTAAAATTTCCCTCTGCACATAAGGGAGATTCATCCATATTCCCAAGCATTTATATAATGTAATAGTTGGATTCAACCTCAAAAAAAAAAAATCATACAATCCTAAATTTAAAGTATCCCTCTCCTCTTTAAGTCTCCCAGGCTGTGCTCTACTTTCCAGTTCCAGTTTGTTTTTTGATAGTCCTGGCCTTCACTTGCTGTCTCCGCTCTCCCCTATTGTCTCCTCCCATCCCCGCAATGACATTTGAACTGAAAGCATGGTTTCCCAAGTTTGAAAAGCATAGGGACCTGGAGGGTTTGCAAGTTTAAAAGCTGCTTCTGCGTGTGACTACCAATCTTTATTTTTAGAAGTCTACTACTTCCCACTTGGAGGTGAACAGGCTTTTGGAAGTTGTTTTAAAGGTTCAGAAAAACAGCCAATAAAACTGGAACGTCGAACAGCATTTTGGGAACAATTTACTGGTTAGTTGAGCAAGCAAGAGGAAGAAATAAAAAGTTGCAATGACATTTCCCTGGAAATCCCAACAGGATTACTTTGGAGAATTTAGCTCATTGGACATCTGTGTTCCCAAAATGCTAATGAAATATTTGAAATTTGTTGTTTAAATGTGGGGATCTATATAACACAAATGAATAAACAGACTTTTATTTTTTAAAAAAGGATAAGTTAAAGGAGCAGCTTATTAAAGATTAAATATAATGATCACTCTGAGGTTTAGAAAGACCAAGCACATGCCTCCAATCCCTAGAAATTGTGGGAAGGGGGTAAAGACTAATGACTGTCGCCTTGGCCAAGTGGCTCAGCTGGTTGGAGCGCCATTCCCATGCAGCAAAAGGTTGCGGATTTAATTCCTGGTCAGGGCACGTACCTGGGTTGCAAGTTTGCAAACAATTGATGTTTCTCTCTCACATCAGTACTCTCTCTCTCTCTCTCTCTCAATCCCTCCCTTCCTCTCTTTCTAAAGTCAATCAAAAAAAAAAAAAAAAAAAAGACTAATGACTCTCAATGTAAGAAATGTTCAGACATATAGAGAATTTTTATTTATGAGTTTATTTTAGCCAAACTAAAGACAATTGTCAAGAAGCAAAATCTCAATAAATCAAGAAAATGCTCTGGAAAAATGGCAGTTTTTCCACTTATATATTAGAATTAAAGGAGAAGACATAAGGTGGTTACCTGAACTCCATTGTTGGTAGATTAGGGAGGCGGGTGAAAGCAAAGTGGGAAAATCTCTGAGATTGGCAGGATTGGATAAAAAGTAAAATGAAGAGATACATAGTTCATAGGCTCATTTTCACTTGAAACAAGCAAAAGAACAAGCCTTTCTTATGAAAGTACAGTGAAAGTTTGGAAAAAATCACCAAGGTTCCAGATGTTGATCTAAAGACACCCAAGCGTGTCTGATCTCCAGGCTGGCTCTGCAGCTGGAGGTCTCCTCACCTGACCTCCAGTTTCCTTCGCAATGTTGACACCTGTGGCAGGACCCCAGGAGCAAGGCGTTCCCAGAGGACATCGCCTCACTTCGCGGGGAAGCTGGGCCTTCCACAGGATCCCAATTACTAAGCATCGCAAACATCTCAGAGAAAAGTGCCCTGTAAACCCACAACCAGAGGGTTTGCCACCAACAGGAAAGCCGCTGAGCCTTGGACTACATACTTTAGCTTTAGATATAAAGAGTTATGTTTAATTTATTTTCAGTAACAGATAATCATCTTAAAAAAAACACTCATTTATACAGATTTGCTAGAGAATACAGCACTTGTTTGACAGCCTTCATGTGCTTGGAAACCTGTGCTGAGTGACCTATAGTTTAGGGAGTAGTATATACGATGGAAGAGGAGGGCACGGTCCCAGAGAATTTTTCCCTGGGAAGGGTGGGTAGGTCCCAAAACACACAGGCAAAGTGGACTGGCAGGTGGCCAGTGAGTTTGGAATACATCTGTGAAACAGAGAGGTCCTAAGGATTTCTCTCTTCCCCTTATGGAAAGGCACTGGGCCAGCATTCATGGGGAGCCTCAGGAGCGGAAAACAGTGAATAACGTGGAAGTCACAAAGACGAGCGTGGC